TATAACTTTTCGAACACTACTGGTTACCTCTAAGCTGGTGTTTCCTAATCTAGATGTGTTGTTTAATAATTATGTTCTTTTAGTCCAAGTCAAGTACAACGAAAGCCTACAAGTAATGGTTCAGCGACAAGGCCATTAAGTTCAAGAAGATCCAGTAGTAGTGTTCGAAAAGTTATAGTAGAATAACGTTTTTTAAAAATTGACTCTATATATAAGATAGTGAAAACTTATGACTGTAATAAAAATRRTGTTMKATKGACTTATGAACATAACTATCAAGTTGCTGAGGAAGTCTCAAATAGAGACGAAACGTTCAACGGATAAATATAGTGTTCATCTTAATTAAACCCGTCCAAAAAACAACYTCCCTAAGAGTAAACTTAGTAATAATATTAATAAATTTTGGATAAGAAAAAAATCTTGATAATATTTAAACTTTGATTTTTCTTTTATTTTTTATTATAACTTTTATTTTGTGTTTTCTCATAAAACGCATAAAATATTTTCTTAGTTTAATTTATAAAAATAACATGAAATATAAATTGCCTGTGTGTAATATTTATTATATTGTATAAAATACATAATGAAATGTAAAAAATTTTTAGTTTAAAAAAAAATGACATGAAAAACAAAACACACTGTACGTATAATAAACAATACATTAAACTTAACATTGAATCTAATAAAAAAGTACATAATACATAATATAATTATTCTAGAAATCGTATTTTATTACTTTTTTAAACTTGAAAACATGTGGACTTTAACTTAATATAAAATAAATCATATGATCCGTAATATTATGGGGAGGGGGGGAGGGTTGACATACCTGAAGTCATTTTTACGAACAAGTCGAAGTTTGATCGATTTTATTCTGACGAAAAAACACATATTTGTGACGCTGCGTAGAAGAAAAATTTAACCCTTTGAGTGTCGAATATTTCGGACAAAAATTATTCACATGAATGGCCTTTAACAGTTTTTATTCTAGGAAACAGAATACTTTTTTTGTTAATGTGAACTATATTGATTAACTTTGAAATTACAGTGAACGCCTGGAATAACAAAAATTAGAAATATTACGTTTGTGACCTTAAGAGCGCCTATATGCGCTCATCCCATTAAATGTTTATTATTTATAGTAACAATTCTGTTAAAAATACAAAGAAATAAATAATATTGTTTGAATGTAGTAAAATTCAATTTTTTGATTATCGAAATAGATTTTCACAAAAATTTATTTCTACCCAAAATTTTACCGTACATCGTAAATAAATTCTTATTCTTTATGGTGTTTCAAAGGTTGCCGTAAGTCAAAAAATTTAATAAAAGGAAAAAAAGAAACTCAAACGCGAGAGAGATATTGAAACAATTGATAAACGCATATATGCGCCCTTAGTCCACAAAGATAATTTTGAATGAACGCATATATGCGTCAATATTACTCAAAGGGTTAAAAAGAAGATTTTTACAAAATCCACGAAGTCAAAGGTGATGAAGGTTCTGTTCTTATCTGAGATATAATGAATATTAATGGGGAACCGATCCCATAAACTACATAGAAGGAATCATTGACTGTTTAAAGTATTTGAATATAATTAAAAAAAATGAAATGACAAAGGATTAGATCTATCAGGCTAATAACGACCTAAAACACATAATAAAATAATTTGTAAATGTACCAGCAAAATATTAAAATAATCAAATGACCATCTCTTAAACTCCGAATTTAAATTCGATTGAAATGGTTATGAATCAACATTGACAAATTCGTGAAAAAAAAATCAAAAATCAAATATATTATTATATCTAGTTTATCAACAAGATATAAATATTATTAACGTATAAGAAATTAAAAAAATGAAATGAGAGTATTGAAAAATATGAAAATTATTCGTGCATCTTTAAGTACACGTCTGCTATTTCATCTTTCAATTTAAACAAAAAAATTACATCTTAATTTGCAAATTAAACAATTATTTTTCTTTCTAATATTTAAAAGTAAGTAAAAAACAATGTATTGACTATTTTTTACGCAATAATGTTTAAACTTATTATAATATGTAAGCGATTATTGTCGTATAAAATTGTATTTAACTTTGTAATTTGGTTTTAACAAAAAAAA